TTTTTTTTTTTTTTTTTCTTTTTTTTTGGCCCTCTATTAAATTTTATCAAGTATATATTAAATATAATGTGAAAAGTGATTAGTTGTCAGTTTGATTTGTTATTTAATAGATTATTAGTATGATCGGTATAATGTAATGAAATTTGATAGGAATGAAATGAGTTGAAGAATTAAATAAATATGAGAAATGAATGAAACAAGTTTTTTCAATGATGTGTTTGGTATGCAGAATGAATAAGACTGAATGAAATGACATTATCATTCTATATTATCGTTTAGCCGTATTTTATAGAAAAATAATATTTATATTAATGTTATTTTTTATTTATGATGATAATAATTTTTTTTAAATATACTAAATTTTAATAAATATACTTTTGTATTGTTACACTCATATGTATTATATAATATATTAGTGAATTAATTGTGTATCCATATACATATTAACTAATACAAATATATCATTATATAAACCTCTATAAACATATGTTGTCGAATATAATTTTTTATATTGTGATGTATAAGAATAAAATAATATCTTTTTGAATTATTTATAAATTCGTATTTAATTTTTTATTATAGCATTCTCATTGAAAAAAAATGTTACATGATTAGTGAATTTTGTGTTTATCTCTTTTATTCTCTTAGTCTCCTTTTACGGCAATTCGATTGCCGTAATTCGATTAGCAATTCGATTGCTTTCTTTGGATTAGTTAAAAAATGTAGTATTGAAAATGAATCTGTTACATTTAAAAAGAGAATAGATTGTATATATTGCATAAACATATAAAAAATAAAAATTGTTACATTGAAACAAGAGATTTATTTATGAATAGAAACACTTATAAATTATATTTCCACAAAGATTGTATTTTGTATTTATCTTTTTTTTTTTATTATTATTATAACGTTCTTATTTGTTGTCCAATACAATTAATATGAACAATAATGTGTGAATCAAATTTTATTACCGAAGAAAAAGATAAAATACTAATAAAATTTGATTTGTGTATATCTAGAAGATATTTCACCACAAAATTGTGATACAATAAAAAAAATTATTGTTGAAAAATCAAATTTAGTTTGTATGCTTTGTAGTTGGAAATGATAAATGTTAATAAAAAAACCGCTTATTATGGGAGTAAAATAAAAAATAATATAAAAATTTATTTATTTGTATGAATACAAAAAACATTTAAACTATATTTATTTAAGGAATGAAATATTTTTATTAACAATGAATTTGTATAAATTAGTTTTTATAAGAAAAAAAAAAAACAAAACACACATATTAAATGAGATTTGTGTATATCTAAAGGATTCTTATCGTGTTATCATTAAAAAA